TTTAACCCTGCTGGGACACGGGGGACAGAAAGCAGAAACGCCGGCGGCTTGGCCAGCGGGCTGCAGCGCCAGCCCCAGAGCTCGGCAGCCGGCCGGGCAGACAAGGAAGCTCTTTCCACGGTGCCGGCCTGATCCTGGCACAAATGACACAAACCGCTTCTGAGAAAACATCGTGAAGGCTCCACCTCAGTTCACAGGAGGGGTACGGGAGGGAAGGAAACTCATTCCAGCACTCGGGAGGCAAGGACGGGAAGGGTTTACAGACAGGGTTCCTCAACATGCAACTTGCCTTTCCAGCTCGGAGATCGCTGCTCAGTCCCAGGGCCTTTCTCTCAAGCCAAACACCATCCAGACACACATGCTTCAATACTACAAAATACTCTTTTCTCTAAGGACCATCTAATACCACTACAGTTTGTGCAATCACTGCATTTATTATTCATTTTTTAAACTCTCTCGCTTTCTCCCTGTAGAAATTTTTTTTAAACTTTTCTTTTTTTATGCAAAACTAATCATTTCACTTTTTCCACTCCATCATAAAATCTCCTCTAAAAACACAACAACAAGAGAACAAACATGGCACAGACACAGAGAATATTTCCCTGTTTTTGTTTTTTTCTAGGGGTTATGGGGAAAGGAAGGGGATACTTTCAAATAAACTCCTCCGCCAACCCCACACCTTCTGTAAAGGGCATGGATTGATCTTCCTTCCCCTCTCTGTTAAAGAGCAGGGATAAAAGGTAGGGGGAGGAGTGTAACCCACGTGAATACGAGGGCAGGTTAGTCAGCCCCAAGCGGCTGGTCCACTCGAGACCGTGGCTGCATTCCAGTTAGCAGATCTCTAACCTGGGACAGCCCAGGATCTTATTTCAGATCCAGAGGTCCAGGGTTGATTCCCACCTGGTGACACGTCCCAGAGGAGACCTGTCACACAGGCAGGTCTCAGCTGCGTCCGCGCTTCGGACCTGACTCCTTTCCTCCTCCACAAAGAGGAGCTGCTGCACAGGCTCTTTTGCCACAACAAATACTGTCCTCACCTCAGGAAGAAGGTCCTCACGGAGTATCCCTAAAACGACCCACCGTTTTGCTCTTCGCAGACAATCCCCTTACTTGTCACTCTGGAGAAAGGCCAAAAAACCCCTTCATTAAACAATTCCTGCCCCCTGCCCCCAAAGGACACCATACAAAAGACACCGGGGAAAAGAAACCTGCCAAATGAACATGTCTTGGCCAAAATACATCAAGAGCTTCTTATTAAAGTTCCCTTTTATCTTCTACTTAAACTCCTCATTTTTTTTTCCAGCATCTCATCACCACGAAACAAAACACATCACCACATACACGCCAAACAGTAACTCAACGACCAAGGAAAGTGACTGGCCAAAATGCATCCACCCCATCAAAAAGTTCCTCCTATCCTGCAGCCTCAGAATACAGGTAATTGCTTAGAGGGGAGAAGGATGAATGAAGAATCCTCTGTTTTCCTAAGAGAGAGCTTCTCCCTATATGTACAGCCTACTCATCTTTGAAGCTGCAGTCATAAGGATAAGCTGTGTTAAAATAAGGAATCCCTGGGTGGGCCAGGCACAGGAAAGATGCAAAAAGAAAGACACGAAAAACACAGGCAGGTAGTACAGACAAGCACACAAGTCCAACAAGTTACAGGAAGCCTTAGCTTGGTGAATGAATTGGGGAAGTCTCTTTCTCCCCATCCCCATCAGTTAAAAATGCAGCTGCTTCCCCGTCACTCAGCTTTGGGCAAGGGCTGGAGAAGGGGAGTTAGCCCACAAAGGGCAGCGCTAACAGCACCTGGAATCCCCCTCGGAGTGGCTACGCAAGCACTAAGCCACGAGCAGCTCGAATCCAGCGCGCTCTGCGAGGCAATGGGCCGCGCTCCTACCGCGAAAGCACCACTGCACGAGAGCCCTCTCCACAGCCCGAGCGTCACAGAGTGGTTGAGGCTGGAAGGGACCTCTAGAGATCATCTAGTCCAACCTCTGCTCGAACAGGGACACCCAGAGCATGTGGCACCAGGGCGCATTCCTCGTGCACAAGCACCAAAGGGGCGAATTCCGCCTGCGTTTGCCTGTCCAGGGCAAACTTGCACGTAGGGGAGCCCTGATGCAGGGAATTTCTTGCACCTTTTCACCTCTGCAGCACGTGTGTGGAAGTAACACTGCGCTGGTCCAGGCCAGGGGACGGGGCTGAGAGGGTGACTCTCCCACAGGCTGGTATTTCAGCACCTGTTTTCCTTGCACCTAGGGGTTCAGCCAGGGGCCCATAGCCAAGGAATGGCATCACACCCCAAGGCCTTGGAGCAATGAGGATCTAGCAAGCCACCAAGGGCAGGTGAAGGAGAGAACTTATCTGGGACACGAGAGCATGTCCAAGCAGAGGTGGTCAGAGAAGAAGGAGCTGTGGGTAAAGAAGGGCAAGTTCTGGTCTTGCTTCCTCCCACTAGCAAGGAGTGAACATTTCTGGACCAATTCATAGGAATTCAGGGGAGGAAGGGAGGAAAAAAGAAAGTAAAAATCAGCACACATGCATATGATGTGAGACAGAGAGTTATTTCTTATTAGCACCTTTGGTTGACAGTTGTAAGGGCCATTTCAGATCCTGAAAAGGCCAAGGGGAATCCTCTTGCAGGCCATCCACAAAAGTGAAAAGAGGGGGGAGATGAAGGGGAGCGGGAAGGGAGTTGCTGCTGGCATCCTGCCCTTCTCCCTCTGAGGGAGCGGAGCAGGGGGAAAGCAAAATAGGCCAGGGGAAGGTGGCGCGTGGGGCACACGGCGCCATCACGGCATCTCCTCCCCAACAGAATGACAGATGCGCAGCCAGCCCCCCTTCCTCCATGGAGAGCCTGGGGAAGAGCATTTTATGCCCTCTCCTCCAGGCAAGTGCAAGTAAAGGCCATGAGGAGGAATATCCAGGCCAGAAGCAGGCTCCCCTTATCCTCCTTTCCCCCTGCGGAGCTGAACAGCTGGAAGATGCAAAGAGGAGGGCCCAGGCTGCGTGAAAGCGCCCATACAACTGCCAAGGTAGCACCAATAGCTAAAAGGGAAGCCAGCGTGGGGCATGTGCTGCATGGGGGACCCCCCCGACCACCCCAGCTTTGTCACGAGCACCTTCCAGGCATGACATGGCACCTGCCCCTCTCTCCCTCGCGCCCAGGCCCTGCACGGGCCATGGCCAAGGCTGCAGCGTAAGAGGTGGCAGACGCAGGCCACATGGCAGGGGGGGAGACGGCAGGCTCGGAGTCATGGCAGCAGGATGAACAAGAGGAAGGGAAGAGAGCGCAAGACCAAGGCTGGAGAGGGCTGAGGGGTTGGGCGAGAGCCTCCATCCTCTCCCATCGCCCTCCAAAGGGTCGGAAGCTTCTCTTCCTAAGCCACAGATGGGAAGGGAAGGAGGGGAGAGTGCCTTCCCCAACACACACACACATTCCCTGACCCCTCCATCCCCAAAGGCTCCATGGCCAGTTGGACAACAGCACATTCAAGGACAAACAACCATTTGGCAGCCCCCCACTGTGACCTCCTTACCCTCCGCCAGCAGCAGAGACACCCAGGAGCACTGGGTATCCCTGCTCCTTGCAGTGCCGCGGCATCCCGGCCAGGGGAAGTGGGCAGGAAGGAAGGGGCAGCAGAAGGGGAGCGGGACAGCGTGGGGCAGGAGGAGAGAACTAAGGACAGCCATTCACACCACGACTTCTCACGGGCAGAGCTGCCCCCGGGCCCCCAGAGCGCAGGGACCAGCTGCTCACTTGCTGCTTCCGCCGCCGCCTGCTGCCACTTTCTCAAAATCCTCCGCATTGCAGAACTCCTTGATGGTGACCGTGAGGAGGTTGCTGGTGACATCTGTGACCACCACATTAGAGCAGGGGGACATCTCGGGGCGCCAATCGCCGGTCTCCTGCTCCGTCTCCGGAGAGGAAAGGGCCAAGGAAGGCGCCTGCCCGCTGCCACAGCCTCCTGGAGGGGAGCGCTTGCTGGTGGCCGCTGACTCAGGCGGGATGGAGAGGTCGAGGACCTCCGACTCGCGCCAGTCAGGGACGGCGGGGCTGAGGGTCTCAGGAAGCAGCTTCGGAGGGGAATCATCAGGGTCGGACGAGGAGTGCGGGGCGGGCGAGGGGCAGCCGGAGGAGCTGGAGCTGGGGGCATCGTAAGGGCTGGAGCCCATAAGGAGGCCGCATGAGGCCGCTTGGGACCCTTCGGCCTCCCCTTTGCCCTCCAGCGCGGGGGTGGGCGCAGTAGGCGGCTTATTGTAGAGCGAGAAGCCGCCAAACTTCATGTGGCGGATCTGCGTGCGGAGGACGCTCTCGCTGAATTTTTTGCTCTTGCCGATGACGCGGTTTCGGGAAGGGATCTTGGGTCGGGCCAGGCCACCCGCGCCATTGGGAGGCTTCCCACCTTTGTCAATGACTTTGAGGTTGAGGATGATGCGGCTGCGCTTGGGCTCGCGGGGCTTCACCTTGCGGTTGATGATGCGGACGGTCTCGGAGAAGGGTGAGACAGGAGGACGGATGCTGGTGCCCCCGGCCACGCTCCCGCCGTTCTGGGGGTCGGGACGGGGCAGAGGGCGCCGGGACATGCGGTGGCAGCGCCGGATGTCCTTCTTGAGCCGGTGCACGGCAGCGCTGGAGTGGAGCTTGGGAGAGGAGGTGCTAGAGCCAGGCTTGACAGAAA